CCCAGTTTTGATAGCATCAGCGAGGATCGTCTGCCAACCCCCTTTCTCTCCCCCCTGTTTGGGGACAGGCCATCTCACTTTGCGCAAGCATGGGCCGAGATTACCTCAGCCAGATAGGTCCTCGATCTCGTGTGGATTGGGTACTCTATCCATTTTCAGGTTTCCCCCCTTTCTTCCCTCCCTCCCCGTCCCTTTTCAGGGATCCATCTCACGAGGCTGTCCTGCACTAGGAGGTCCTTGCCCTCCTCGAAAAGGGTGCGATAGAACGAGTGCCCTCCCATTTGGAGGGCAAGGGGTTTTATTCCCAGTATTTTGTTATCCCAAAACTGAAAGGGGGGGCTTCACCCTATTCTGAACCTCCAAAACCTCAACAAGGAGGTGATAAAGACGAAGTTCAGAATGCTAACCCTGGCCTCCATCATTCTAATGGAACAGGGCGATTGGTACGCGGTCCTCGACCTCAAAGACGCGTATTTTCATATACTGATAAGGCCAAGTCACAGGAGGTTTCTATGATGCATTGTGTCCCCCAACCATTTTCACTTTATTGTTTTTCCCTTTGGGCTCTCTATAGTCCCCAGGGTGTTCACGAAATGCATGGTGGTATTAGCCGCATTTCTCAGGACCCAGGGCATCCAGGTTTTTCCCTACCTGGATGACTGGCTGGTTCGGGGGCGCTCTCAGGCACAGGTGGCAGCTCACGTAGACTTTATACAGTCCCTCTTCACGAGAATGGGGCTTTTACTGAACAACGAGAAGTCAATCTTGACCCCTTGTCAGGAAATAGAGTTTGTCAGGGCTCTTCTCGACGCCAGGGTGGCACGAGCCTTCCTTCCCAGGGTAAGGTTCGATATCATACTAGCCATGGTAAACGACATGAAGCGTTTCAGCCCGCGCCTGTATGAGGTTGCTGTGCCACATGGTGGTGTGTACCTACGTTGTTCGCCACGCCAAGCTAAGACTTTGGCCCCTCCAGGCATGGCTGGTGACAGTTTTCAACCAGACTTCAGCTCACTGGGACATACTACTCACTGTACCTCCGCGAATAATTGCCTCCCTTCAATGGTGGACTCGAAAGGAGGTGATATGCAGAGGGGTACCATTCCAGATCGAGCTGCCCTCAGTCACGTTGGTGACAGATGCCTCCGACGTTGGCTGGGGAGCTCACCTACGCCGCCGCAGAACTCAGGGAGTGTGGACGCCTCTCGAGAGAACCCTACACATCAATGTAAGAGAGTTACGGGCAGTCGGGAGAGCATGTGAGGTGTTCTTGCCCATGATCTCGCAGCGCTCAATCCTGGCGCGCCTCGACAACACAGCAGCCGTGTTTTATGTGAACAAACGGGGAGTGCACGATTGTCCCCTCTGTGCAGGGAGGCGATGCTTCTATGGGACTTCTGCATAAAGCACAACATCCACATTCAGGCCGAGTACCTGCCAGGGTGCAAGAACTTGCTAGCAGATGCACTGAGCAGGTCCTTCGCAGACCACGAGTAGTCTTTAAAGGGGGAGATCGTGGGTCAGATTTTCCACAAGTGGGGTTATTCCCGGGTGGATATGTTTGCCACGGCAGGGAACAAGAAATGCCCCCGATATTACTCATTTCTGGGGCTGAGCATGCACTCTAGGGGGGATGCGCTAACAAAGGAATGGCCTCGGGAACTCCTCTATGCGTTCCCGTTGATCCCCAAGGTGTTGGCCAGAGTCAAAGCTTGCACAGCTCGAGTAATCCTGATAGCCCCCCAACTGGCCCAGGCAATTTTAGTTCCCGATACTGTGGCAAATGCTGTGCGCGAAGCCGCAGCCCCTGCCCATGATCCCGGACCTCATCACCCAACCCTATCGGGGGGGACTCTTAGTCTATCCGAATCTCAAGTCACTCCACCTCACGGTGTGGCTTATCGGTGGTTAACACGTGATGAGCGGGCTTGCTCACATGCAGTTCAGATGATTGTTAGGTAGCAGAAAGCCCTCCACTAGAAAGTCGTATGCGGCTAAGTGGAAACCCTTCACTGTGTGGGCATCACAGAAAGGGCTGGACCCATGCCGAGCTCCGGTTCCGCTGGTACTCGACTACCTGCTTGGATTACGGCAGACGGGCCTATCCGCCTCGTCTATTAAAGTGCACTTGGCTTTCCTTTCTACCTTCTACCCTTGTTCGGGGTCTAGTTCCCTATTTACTGATCCGATAGTCAAAGAGATTCGTGAACGACCTAGACAAAGTGTGCCCTCATGTGAAGCCACCTGTTCCCCAGTGGGACCTCAATCTAGTGCTCACAAAACTGATGTCACCTCCATTTGAGCCCTTAGCGACTTGCTCCTTAAGGCACTTGTCCCTAAAGGTAGCTTTTTTAGTGGCCATAACTTCAGCACGCCGGGTCTCCGAGCTTTGTGCCTTGACTGTAGAGCCGCCTTACTTGGTGTTCTCGGCGAATAATGTTAGACTCCACCCACACCCGGCTTTCCTCCCCAGGTGGTTTCGCCTTTCCATATGTCGCAGGAAATTTCCTTACCCGTTTTCTTTCCGAAACCACACCACTCCCCTAAGGAACAAGTGTTGCATTCTTTAGATGCCAAACGTGCCTTGGCTTTTTACATAGATAGAACAAAACTTTTCCGTAATTCAACACAGCTGTTTATTGCATACGCAGACAGAATGAAGGGCCTTCCCAATTAGACCCAAAGGTTATCCACCTGAGTTTCCTCATGTATCACAGAGTGTTATACGTTGGCCCACAGGGAGCCACCCCAGGTTAGGGCGCACTCCGTTAGGGCTCACGCGTCCTCCACGGCATTTGGGGTGCATGTTCCAATTGTAGAAATCTGTAGAGCAGCCACGTGGTCATCTGTCCACAAGTTTACGGCACACTATGCACTTTCCCAGCAGGCTAGAAATGATGCCGTGTTCGGGGCCGCTGTTCTCAGTATTGTACTGTAAAAAAAAAAAAAAAAAAAAAGTTAGAGAGTTTTTTTGTTATGTTTAGAGGCTTCTCTGTTAATAAACTATATGGTGCTTGATTTAATCTCTCTCTTTGTGGTTCTAGAGGCTTACTCCGACCCCACCTCCGTAGGGGTTTTCTGCTTGTTAGTCGCCTCACTCGAATGGACAGGAGCAACCACTCGAAGAAGAAAAGAATGGTTACTTACCTGCAACTGTTGTTCTTCGAGATGTGTTGCTCCTGTCCATTCAATTCCTCCCTCCCCCCCCCCACCTCTCCTTCGTCGGAGTGTCCGGTAAGAAAGAACTGAGGAGGGGAGGCGCCAGCAGGATAATCATGTGCTGCTATAGCTGCGCCACTCCAGGGGGCAACCTGCTGGCGCTATGTGTACTGCTAGGGGAAAAATGCTCCGCAGAACTGTGCACGTGGCGCGCACACACCTCACTCAAATGGACAGGAGCAACACATCTCAAAGAGCAATAATTACAGGTAAGTAACCGTTCTTTTCCCCATTCTAGCACTCTGAATGCAGAAGGTGGGGGCCCTCAAGAGAACTTCAAAACCTTGCCTTTACAGGCTTCTGTTTAAAAACTCCCTAAGTTCACAGACTCTCTGACCTTGGGTGGTATGCTGCCACAACTCAAATGCAAAAACTCCTTGAAGCCAGGAAGAAGCACTTGGGAGCTTCTCTCTGTAGGTAACTCCAAGCTCTTATCCTCCTTTTAGGAGAGTGCTTGAAAACAAACTAATTTTTGAATAGCAGCCCTTCAGTCTCAGGCACATATGCACAGAACCTCCTGCTTTTTCTTAGGGCGCAAGAATCAGATTGTAATTTTAAAAAAGGTAATTTTATTAATAAAAACAAAGGAGGACATTCTTGGTAAAGCATACATGGTTGCTAGGTATTATCGAACAGTAACAACAACAAAAGATGAAAGCCCAGAGAACTGTTTCCCTGGGAGTTAGTTCAGTTACAGTGTACAAGTTTTTTTTTTTTAAGCAGCACAGAGAACTCCCAAAACCAAGAAAACAAATTAAATAACCTGATCGTGTCTAATTATAAACATTCCCTGTTCTACTTATATATGTTGTTCCAAAGTTTAGGTTTCTTTTCTTAGACACAGATATTTCTGGGAAATCCTGCCTTATTACCACAGGTTGAATCTCTCTAGTCCAGTACCCTTGGGACCCGACCAGTTCCGAACCAGAGAATTTTCTAGACCACAGGGGGCCAATTTTATCTAGAAGCATTATCAACACTTCCACTGCTTATTTGGCTGATAGAGGACATTTAGGTGTAAATTAGAACTCAATAACAGCACTGAACACTGAGAGCTAGGACTTGTGGCTATAAACAAACTTTATGGGACCATGGGTAACTTGGGCACACCCATGAAAAGTGGACATCTGGCTAACTAATATCATGCTGGACTACAGATGTTTCCAGACCAGATAGTTCTGCAATAGAGAGGTTCAACCTGTACTTGGTTCATTTCTCGACCCGCTCCAGCTCTGACTCTCACAGAGATAAAGCTGAATAGACAAAACTTGTTTCATTTAAAAAATCTTTCCCTCTCTTCCCATTGGCTCTCTGCCAGCAGTTCTTGGATACCAAATGTTCTGGGTTTAACCCTTTATATACTGAATACTGGGATGTTTAGAAAAGGATAGTACTGCTCCCATCCATCACAACTATAAATATGCTTTACATTTTTCATTGCTGAGAGTCTCTGTAATTGAATGGGACAACCACTATGCAATAGGAGTGGTATACTACATGTTTTAAGAGGGGAAGAGAAGCCATGTGTTTGGGAATTAATTCTGTTCTGATTCAGTCACCTTTCAAATGACCAACATTACTACGGGTTATACATGTGTTTTCATTGTAGGTTACTTATCTAAAGTACTGACCAGGCTCAGTCCTCCTTAGGTCTCTTAGATTTACCAAGCTGATATGACTGCAAGTATCTGAATAATAGCATAGTAACTGTGGTATTTATATAGCAATCAGAATTGAAAAAAGTAAGCTAATATTGTTCCTTGTCTTCTTTATTCTGTAAGCTGTGGACATCAACTTCTTAAGCTTATTTCCACATCACAGTCCGAATCTGGTGCAGAATATCAAGGTATAAACTCAGGTACGATTTCAATATAGGATATCACTCCAGTGGGCTTTCTCAATAGTCAATTAAATAAATAATTTTAAAATTTCACATTTAACCTTTTCCAATACTTCCAAGTAATTCATTTGCATATCATTTTAGTAACCATTTTATTGGCTTTCTGTGTATCTGGTTTATTATCTTTCAATTTGGTGACCCATGATAGGAGATGAAATAGTTGTAAGTGTTTCATGTTCTTTAAATACATATGTTTTCTAATAGACACCTACTTCTGGCTTTATAATTTTGCAAGCAAATGGGTTTTTAAAGCTCTGTAGCTGGTTTTCTGAACTGTTAACATGGCACACCACAAATTACGCTTTCCTGTCTCCTGACTGAATTAGCAGTCATTGTTGTCTAATGATTCCATTTCTGTGAATAATAGGTTTAAGTTCTACACTGTGGCTTTTTCCACGCTCTCTCCATCAGGGAAGATGTTTTTGTCTTATGAAACTTTCTCCTGTGAAGACTTTGAATGCAAGTAAGATAGGAAGATTAAAGCAAATTAATTGTTTGTTTTCTATGAAGAACCTGCTGAGGCAAGCTCAAAATTATTGGCCAGTTAAACTAGAGTTACATCTTTGCACTCCTAGAGTGGCGCAAAGCAGCCAAACCATACCAGTGATCTGGTCTGATTTTTTTAAAAATAGACTGAACTTTGTTTTTGTTTTTTTCCTGCTAGCAGACTTTAACCAGAAACCTGTACTTCTCAAGGGACCAAACATCCATTAGGGGGGCCCCAGATCACATTGATCTCTGTCTAGTTCCCATTTCCTGCTCTTCCTGTTCCCAATACATGCTTCTCCCCTGAAGTAGGAGCTAGAGGGAGGTGATTCATTGGAGTCAGCTCTATCAGCTGAACCCCGAGTGGGAGCTCATCCCTTTCCTCCTCTTTCTCAAATTCAGTGTGGTTCCCACTCCCTTTGCTTGAGTGCCTTAGATACAGAATTTAAGAATAGTGTGAATGCTGCTTAGACTTCCCCCTGTCCACCTCGGCTGGAGAGAATGAGCACCACACCTCTCTAACATTCCAGTTCCCTGAGCTGGGAGAGTGGTCTAAGTGCCTAGATGTTCGTTCTCTCTCTCTCTCTCTCTCCCCCCCCTTGCTTTTTAGATCTTGTGCCCCCCTCCCCAAAAAAGAGAAAATATTTTGTTTCATTCAAGATAAACAATTTTTTTTGAACTGCAAATGAAACAAAAATCAGTTATTTGCCAAAGTCTAATTTGTGAACTCTCTCAGATTTGGACCATATCTTTTTCTATGTTGACAATAAAATATCTAGCATATTAAAGAATGCTAAATAGTGAACCACATCTTGGATTTTGTAATCTGTTTTCATTTACTATTAAAGAAGAGAGCATTCCTTGCTTGTAATATTTTAATTCTTTTAAGATACTGCTTTTTAAAATGATTGCCCATTCTTCTCCACTATGCCTAAAAAGTGGTCTTTAAACTCTTAAATATGGTGATAAAAGAAGTCTAAAAAATTAAACAGAGAGCAGCTTATGTTTCACCAATAGGGACGTACACTTTATAATTGTAAAAAATCTCAGAGGGGTAGCTGTGTTAGTCTGTAACTTTAAAAACAATGAGTAGTCCTGTGGCACCTTAGAGGCTAACCGAAATATGTAGAATCATGAGCTTTCTTGGGTAAACCCTGCTTCATCAGATGAATTAGGCAGTTCTGTTGTGATTTCAACTCTATCAATTGTAGGACCTTTGCTAATGAGGCTAATTAAGTGGACTGGATGTGTCCCATTCATAGGTTTTGATCTGGAAATGCAGATATTAAAGGCAGGAGAAATTGGCTTTGTAATGCACCAACCAGTTGAGACTTCAAGCCCAGAGTGAAGGTGTCAAATCTGTAGACGAATTCCAGTTCTGCTGACTCTCTTTGTATTTCGTTAATGAAATTCCTTTGTAGAAGAATGGTTACTTTTAAGTCTGTGATTGAGTGACCAAGCAAGTTAAAATGTTCCTCTACAGGTTGATGTGTATTACCATTTCTTATGTCTGATTTGTGTCCATTTATCCTTTGCCATAGAGACTGTCTGGTTTGGCCAGTATATGGACTGTCTGGTTTGGGCAGAGGGGGATTGCTGGCACTAGATGGTATATATCATATAAAAGGATGTGCAGTTGTAGAAACCCCTGATGTTGAGGCTTATGTGGTTAGGTCCTGTGATGGTGTCACTTGTGTAGATATGTGGAAAGAGTTGTTAATGAAGTTTGTTGCAAGGGTAGGTTCTTGGTGTGTGTATCTGAGGTGTGATGTATGGCTGCTGGAAAGGATTTGCTTCAGGTTGGGGGGTTGTCTGTAGGTGAGGATTGGCCTGACTCCCAAGGTCTGTGAGAGTGAGGGATCGTTTTCCAGGTTAGGTTGTAGACTGTTGATGCACTGGAGGGGTTTAAGCTAAGGGTATGTCTACACTTGTACCCTAGTTCGAACTAGGGATGCAAATGTAGGCATTTGAAATAGTAAATGAAGTTGGGATTTAAATATCCCATGTTTCAATAGCATAATCTTGGCCGCACACTGTTCCGGAACCGAGCTGTTTCAAAAGTGAAAGTGCGCTCCAGGCTGCGTTAGTTTGAATGAAACCCTTTGGTTCGAACTAATGTTATTCCTCAAAAAATGAAACAGTTTCCACTTTTGAAACAGCTGAGTTCCGGAACAGCATGCGGCCGAGATTATGCTAATGAAGCGCTGCATACTTAAATCCTGACTTCATTTACTATTTTGAATGCCTACATTTGCATCCCTAGTTCGAACTAAGATGCAAGTGTAGACATACCCTAAGAGTGTTTGTTCTGTTGTTTTCCTTATTGGGCCTGTCAAGTAGTTGACTTCTAGGTTCTTGTTTGGGTCTCTCAATCTATTTCCTCACTTCTGCAGGTGGGTATGTAAATTTTAAGCATGCTTCATAAAAATCTTGTAGGTGTTTGTCTCTGTCTGTGGGATTGGAGCATATCTGGTTGTATCTGAGGGCTTGGCTGTAGACAGTTGATCATGTGATGTGTCCTAGATGGACGCAAGAGGCATGTGGGTAATAATAGCAGTCAGTATGTTTCTGGTATAGAGTGGTGTTTATGTGACCATCATTTATTCATGCTGTATATCAAGTAAGTGGATCTCTTGTGTGGATTAGTCCAGGCTGAAGTTGATAGTGGGCAGGTAATTGTTGAAATCCCTGTGGAATTCTTCAGGGGTCTCATTCCCATGGGTCCATTTGATGAAGATGTAATCAGTGTAGTGTAAGTATTGTACAGGCCTCTTTCCTCTGATTCCACTAAGGAATACTGTCCAGAATCTTCCCCACTCTGGCACTGTGAATGCAGAAGGTGGGGGCCTGCAAGAGAATACCTTGCCTTCTTCTTCGAGTGGTTGCTCATGTCCATTCGAAGTAGGTGTGCGGACCGCGTGCACCGCGTCTTCTGGAGCGTTTTCCCTAGCGGTACCCGTAGCGCTGGCAGGGCGCCCCCTGGAGTGGCGCCGCCATGGCAGGGCATAAGTACCCCTGCCTGCGCTGCCCCACTTCAGTTCCTTCTTACCGCCTTGACGGTCGTTGGAGCGTCTCTATCTCTCTTAGGGTATGTCTACACTACCCTCCTAATTCGAACTAGGAGGGTAATGTAGGCATACCGCACTTGCAAATGAAGCCCGGGATTTGAATTTCCCGGGCTTCATTTGCATAAGCCGGGCGCCGCCATTTTTAAATCCCGGCTAGTTC